CCTGCTGCTACCAAGGGCTGTCATTCCACTCTGGGGCCTGTCTTTCAGCTCCCAGAACACTTCTCCTACCCTCAGGGGCTGTCATTCCACTCTGGAGCCTGTCATTCCAGTCCCAGAACACTCCTGCTACGCCCAGGGGCTGTCATTCCACTCTGGGGCCTGTCATTCCACACCCAGAACACTGATGCTACCCGCGGGGGCTGTCATTCAGTCCCAGGACACTCCTCCTACTCCAAGGAGCTGTCATTCCACCCCCAGGGACTGTTCTTCCACTCCTAGAACACTCCTGCTACCCCTAGGGGCTGTCATTCCACTCCGGGGCCTGTCATTCCACTCCCAGAACACTCCTGCTACCCCCAGGGGCTGTCATTCCACTTTGGGGCCTGTCATTCCAGTCCCAGAACTCTTCTGCCACCCCCAGGGACTGTTCTTCCACTCCTAGAACACTCCTGCTACCCCTAGGGGCTGTCATTCCACTCTGGGGCATATTATGCCTGTCACAGAACTCTCCTGCTACCCCCAGGGGCTGTCTTTCCACTCTGGGGCCTGTCATTCCAGTCCCAGGACCCATCTCCTACCCCCAGGGGCCGTCATTCCACTCTGGGGCTTGTGATTCCAGTCCCAGAAGTCTCCTGCTGCCCCCAGGGGCTGTTGTTCCATTCTGGGGCCTGTCATTACAGTTCCAGAACACTCCTGCTACCTCCAGGGGCTGTCATTCCACTGTGGGGCCTGTCATTCCACTCCCAGAACACATCTGCTACCCCTAGGGCTGTTATTCCACTGTGGGGCCTGTCATTCTAGTCCAAGAACACTCCTGCCACCCCCAAGGGCTGTCATTCCACCCTGGGTCCTCTCATTCCAGTCCCAGAGCACTTCTGCTACCCCCAAGGTCTGTCATTTCACTCTGGGGCCTGTCATTCCACTCCTAGAACATTGCTGCTACCACCAGGGACTGTCATTCCACTCTGGGGCCTGTCATTTCAGTCCCAGAGCTCTCCTGCTACCCCCAGGGGCTGTCATTCCACTCTGGGGACATTCATTCCAGGCCCCACTCCTTGTACCCCCAGGGGCTGTAATTCCACTCTGGGACTTGTAATTCCAGTCCCAGGACACATCTGCTACCCCCAGGGGCTCTTATTCCACTTTGGGGCCTGTCATTCCAGTCCTAGAACACACCTGCTACCTCCAGGGGCTGTCATTCCACTGTGGGGCCTGTCATTCCAGTCCCAGAACTCTCCTGCTGTTTCCAATGGGCAATCCTGTCCTTCCTTTTAGTACATCCTGTCATAATAAAAGGCTGCTGTTCTTTGAACGCTTTACCAGGAAGCCCCCCTGAACATACTGGTACTTCTGAATAAAAGTTCCTTGGATTACGCTGCCTAACTGCAGTTTTATACACAGTTTCTTTTGAACTCAATGGAATTTACTTCAGAGTAAACTTGAATAGGATGGCATACAATACATGCTTCATTGAAAGCAAAAGGTTTTATTTAGTCACAAATAGATGTTGCATTGCTCTCAAGAGACATGCAGTACTATTCTCTGTATGTTATTTCAAAAGTTAATCTCACCTTTAAAGGGACTTGCTCCTAGGTATAGTTTTTGTAGGACTGCAGCCTTTGTCACAACAACTGAACTGGATTTCAGCTGGTTTGGACTCCATGTCATTCATCTCCATAATATTTCATGTTGTAGGTCACAATTATTAGTTTTACAAGCTGGAGCTTCTCAAGGGATGAAAGATTTCACCTTTCTTCTCTGTTTTCCTCTTCCCTCCCCCTTCATCTGTTGCTCAACTGTCTCAATATTCTGTGCTTCCTAGAGGTTTATTAGCATATTCTGACTTAATCAGGCTGGGGGTTTTTTTGGGGGGGGTCTCTTAGTGTTCAGAAATATCAACTCAT